GCGCTGCCAAAGGTCTCTGTCAAACCCGCCGAAGCAGCAGCACCAGCAGCAGCAGCAGCAGCAAAAGCACCCGCAGCAGCCGCAAAAGCAAAACAACCAGCAGCTGCAAAACCCAGCAAACCACCCTCCAGTAAACTTGAAACCTCAAACCCTAAACCCTAAACCCTAAACCCTAAACCCTAAACCCTGCTGCAGCTCTAAATATAGAATGTGCTCCTATGGCTCCTTTTTAAGAAATAAACTTCGCAGTTTTTGCCTTTATCTTTCATCTTTAATTCTACCAAATAAAATTAATTTAATTTAATTGACTTAATTAATTAAATTAATTAATTTAACTTAATTTCATTTATTTATTTTAATTAATTTAATTTAATTTGTTTTAATTTGTTTTCTTCAGGCTCCTCCTCTTCCTCTTCTTCAGAAGAAAGTTCGGAAGAGTCTTCTGAAGAAGAGTCAGAAGAAGAAGAGTGAAGCAGCAATTAAATTAAATTAATTAATTTAATTTAAACAATTAAATTAATTAATTTAATTTAATTTGGTTTAAATAAATTAATTTATTAATTTATTTCATTAGTTTAAATGCTGCACTTCAAAAAAATTCAATCCCAAAATAAACCAACAAAATCGCATCCTCTCAAGCACCAAAAGTGAACCCTTTAGGGCCCGCAGGGGGCCCCAGGGGGCCCCTAAGCGGGCCCTCTGAGGGGCCCCCGGCGGGGCCCCTAAGGGGGCCCCAGGGGGTCCCCAGGGGGGCCCCATGGGGGCCCCCACAGTTCTCCCAGGGGGGCCCCTTAGGGACTCTTGGGGTTTTATTTGGCCATGGGGGCCCCTGGGGGCCCCTAGGGGCCCCTAAAGACCATTTAGGGGCCCCTCGAGGCCCCTAAAGACCATTTAGGGGCCTATAGGGGCCCCTAGAGGCTATTTAGGGGCCCCCAGGGGCCCCTAGAGGTCTTTTAGGGCCTCCTAGGGGCCCCTAGGGGCTCTTCTGGGGGCCCCTGGGGGCCCTCTGAAATCTCCGCTAAGAGCCGCTGGGGCCCCTGCGTGTGGGGCCCCACAGGGCCCTCAAAGTTCTCCCTGGGGGCCCCCTCTTGCCACAGGCTTTAGGGCCCCCTGCGGGATCTTGGGGGCCCCTAGGGGCCCTCAAAAGCCCTGGGGATCCCTAGGGGCCCCCGGAAGTCCTGGGGGCCCCTTCTAAAGACTCTCTTGATGCTCCAGGGGGCCCCCCAAAGGGGCCCCCATAGGCCCCCGGGGGCCCCCC